TTGGGAAAGAACAAGCCAAAAGCCAGTAAAGGAAGACATAGAGGGGAAGAAATGGAAATGGATTAGACACACCCTGAGGAGATCCCCGACAAGCGTCATCAGATAGGCTTTGACGTGGTCCACAAGAAAAACGTAAGAAAGGAAGACCAAAGATGACATGGAGGCGTGCGGTAGAAGGGTAATTGTAAAAGGCTGGGACATCATGGAAAATGATTCACAGGACAGGCTTCGCTGGAGAAATGTTGTTGATGGCCTATGCTCCACCGGGAGTTAAAAAGGGCAATAGAGAGAGAGAGAGAGAGAGAGATTGCGTCTCAAACGATCAAAATTATCACCATTAGGCTATTCATTTACAGTACAGCAACAATATCTTTTGTAAGACCAAATTTCCTTTTTTTTAAGCGGTAAAAACTAGGACTAGGCATAATAATGGGGGTTTTGAAACTACTAAGATACTCTTATAATATATTATTATGTATATTATAAATAATAATTTAATAATAATAATAATGATGATAATATTGATAATAATTATTATTACAATAATAATTAAAATAAGGTAATGGGTTTTTGTAGCGCATACCCTTGCTCGAAAGAAATTTCAAAACATTCTCTGCTTTTCTGGAAAGCATTCAAACGAAACTCGGGTTTTTGCGAGCACTTAAACACTAAAATTCCGACAATATTTTGCTATTACTTGGTGATTTAAAATAATTATCACTGTAAAGTGTTATCAAAGATAGTACAGCCTACGGTAAGATGCTGCAGCTCCCTCTTTCCCTTTGTTAAAAAAACGTAGCACGCGTAAAATAGGCCACGCCCCCAGCGAGCGTGTGACTGAGCCCCGATGGCTTGGCCCAGTGCTTGTTGGATAGAGTAGAATACGAGAGTGTCCTGGTTAATTCTACTCTAGGGCCCATTCTAATCTAGATCTAAATAATTATATAGATCTATCTACCAAACTAAAGTATTGATCAACGTATTTCAATAATTTATCTAGATCTAAATTATTTTAAAAGGAAAACATTAGATTAAAAAATAGCCTCACTTCGGTAACGAGTGATAAGATCAGAGGATAAATCTAGTGTACCGGGTGCATAGGCTCACGATCTACTAAATCTAGATCTAGATCTAGACCTCGACATTGACAATCACGAAATCTAGGTCTAGAATATATCCAATGCAATATTATTGATCTTATTGATGACAGGATCTTTAGGAGTATTTATTATTAGAAATCAAAAGATAGTGTCAATTAGTATTAGATATACCAGGGAACGCTGCTATAGCAGAATGGAGAGAGAGAGAGAGAGAGAGAGAGAGAGAGAGAGAGAGAGAGAGAGAGAGAGAGAGAGAGAGAGAGAGAGAGAGAGAGAGAGAGGGAGGGGGGAGGGGAGAGAACTAATAAGCTACTACAGTTAAAACGACAAACATGCACACAGAGAGATAGATGAGTGGGTGAGAGAGAGAGAGAGAGAGAGAGAGAGAGAGAGAGAGAGAGAGAGAGAGAGAGAGAGAGAGAGAGAGAGAGAATACAAAGAACACAACAAAGAAGCATTATATGTCTTATTAACTCGCTCTCTCTTTTCTAAGGGCTCACGCTCTCCTAGCCTTGACAACGGGGTGAAAGTTTACGACACTTTCCCCAGTGACACAGTCACCTATGCACTCATTGGACCTTTGTTAGGTGCTTTCAATTTTCCTCGACTACACAGCTGATACCAGCTCATCATAGACGGAATAATAATATGCTGGAGGTGCTGTGTGTGCTCCTGAGATTTAAGTGTTATAAATCACGTCGAACCACTTTTAAGGCAACTTTTTCAATAGATGAAAATTAGTTAGAAAAAATTTGGAGGGGAAACGAATTCATCCCAGCCATCCAGGAGAATCTAGATATAGAGCTAACTTATAATAAAGAGATGGAAGACAAAGTTGATGCTCCTCGTTTAAATTGTTCCTAAAATACCGTGGCTCACCGTGAGTATAGCAAAATCATCACTGTTGAGCTCATGGCGCTTGATTTTTGGTAGTAAAGAAGTGGAAGCAACCTAAGCCCCAAGCCCCACCCAAATCTTGGTCCACCCACCCCCACTGGATGTTTGTGGAGGTGGTTTTTGTGATGTGCAGGGAGATGATTTGATGATGATGATGTGATGGTGGCCGTGATGATGATAAAATGTACAGAAGTGGTCAGAACATATGGTGTACGTGTGTGTGT